TTGTGTGGATTAACCAGCAGATTTGCCCCGTGTGATAACGTCCCAAGGTATGTTGGGATGTGAAGTCTACCTCAAATGCATTTCATATTGTGAAGGGTACCAGTAGATCATTTTCCTTTCTGCAAAGGTGATCTGCAAAAATTCACTTCTGGAGATAACCCAGAAAAAACAACACCTCCTTTCAATCTCTAATTCTACTAACATTGCAACTGTAACATCAGAAATCACAATACCCTTCTTATCAGACCAATCCTCTGTTATGGCTTGGAGAGTCGTGGATATGAGATCTCCTTCCTATAATTGAATTATGGGAATCAAGTTGGGGGTGGGGGGCTTCAGAAGATAGAAATAAAATCTCGTTATATTTCTGGAGATATCCCAGAAAAAACAACACCCTCCTTTCAATTTCTAACTCTACAAACATTGCAACAGTAGCACCAGCAATCACAAAACCCTTATTATCAGGCCATTCCTCTTTCATGGCTTGGAGCATCATGGATATGAGAACTGAATTAGGGAATCAAGTTGGGGGTGGGGGGAGTCAAATTACAAAAATAAAATCTCATCATATTTCTGTTTGGAGGTAGAGCCCTGGGTTGCTCCCTGGCCACAATCCCACATGTTCTTCAGTTCTGCTCTGGTCAGTATTATTTCATCAGCATAATTGATCATCTAGTGATCAAGATCTGTAGAAAAACTTCTTGACTTCTCTAACATTATTCTGGTTCCTTGTGAAGTTTTTCCTCCTGCCTGTCTCTTTACCCTCTCCACTCAATTCAGAAGCCTTCCTCTCAGAGCTAAATGTGCCATGACACAGGTGTAAGGCTATCCAGAGAAGGGAATTTGCATTGAGCAACCACAAATGAAGAGGCCTATTTCTCAGCTCTTTTATCTATCACCAACCCCTGTCATACTGGTCACATAAGCCCCCTCCCATACATATAGTTCCTTGTAGGAGACAGTGGTGAGGACCTGAGTGTCACATATATACCCATAAACCTGAATAGTCTTGCATATATGCACTACAAGCATCCTTGGTATACCTCCTGAATCCACAATATTCTGGGTGCTCAACTTTAAAAAGAATCTCCTTCCCATCTAGGCTGTCTTAAATTCACCATTGTTTCCATTTAGAATATTCCTGTTTGTTTGGGAAACTCCATCAACTCTGGTCTGCAGATAGTGAGAACAGAGAATACACTTCCCCAGCCTTGAAGCAGAACAGAGAATTCAATGTGTCTTGCTACATTAACCTTCACCCCCAACCCAGCATCTCCTACATGTTGGACTAGACTTCCCATTGGTATCAGTCAGCACTACTGATACCTCAGCCCTGGAGCATAACCACCAAAGCAAAACAGAACCATTTGTGTGTAGATACGGAGTACATTATCCTGTCTTTCCCTGGTAACCCACACCTCTTCATAGCCCTCTGATGTACCTGAGAGGAGAGTTTCTAGATAAGAAGAAGTCAGTGTGACTCCATATCAGACTATATTTAATATTCATTACCT